GCGCGCGCACGCAATTTTAAGGCTTGACATGTTTAGTGTCTTTTTACCCGACGTGACCCCATCTTTTATATTTTACCAAAAAATTGGGTAATAATAAATGTTTTATCATTTAATATAGGGGAAACTGTTTTTTTTTTTAAATTTTGGTAATTTTCCCTTAATATAGTAAAAAAATAAAACCCCCAGTGGTGAATAAATACCACCAAAAGAAAGCTCTATCTGTCCCCAAAAAAGGGTATAAAATTCATTTCAGTACAGCGCTGCATGACGGAATAAATGTCAGTCAAAGTACCGCAGCGCTGAATACTGAAAAATGGCCTGGATGGGAAGGGGGTTTAACACCGCGGATGTCAACTGGTTAAGGATGAGATTCTAGGCTCTGCTCACAACTAGGTGTCAGCTTTTAAAGACATTATCAAAGTGTTTTTTCGAAGCATTTTTACATGTGTTTTGGCAAAGAGAAAGAGGGCTGGTTCCTGTGTGACTAAATGCTTCAAAAACACTGGTGCAGTGCATTTACAATTTTACAGGGCCAAAAATGCAGAAAAGTAGTTCAAGTACTTTTTTCAGCAACAGCCAAAAGGACAATCACATGCCAACAGGGGCCATTAAAAACAATTGAATTCCTCCGAGTTGTGCTCTTTCAGCTACAAAATGCCTAGGTGTGAATGGGAACTTAAGGTGGCCATACACTTTACAACCCTCGCAAGACTCCTGTCTTGCGAGGGTTGTAAAGTAATTTTTAAAAAAACTTACGATCTGCCCATCTTGGACAGGCAGATCGTACTTGTGATCATCATAAGCCTGCCCCCGAGGGGCAGGCTTCCGATGATTGCAATGAGGGGTGGGCTTCCGATGACTGCAAACAGTCAGTGTGCGCACACGGGCAGTTGTCGAACAAGCAGGCCACTAACTTGGCGAGAATCGTACGATTCCCAGCAGGTTTCCCAGCCTGCTTGTTCGACTGAAGACCTGCGACCGTACAGTAGAAACGAAATGGTGTATTTTCCTGCACTTCTTACCGGATCTCCTAGGAGATATGTCTGTAATAGGGTGCTTGTAGCGACCACGGAGGCACCGTGTAGTCAAGTAGTAATTCCAAAAATAGAAACGGTTGCACGCCTTCCCTACACTTTGCGATTATCGTACGATCGCGGGATTTCCTGTGATTCTCGTACGATAATCGTGCAGTGTATGGGCACCTTTAGAGAGATGAAGGCTAACTGCTATTGAATGTTTGTCTCTTTGTACGGACGGACAGAAGAAAGCTACTTTCCATCTAATTGTTAGATGGTTTCAACTGTGTGCAGACCCAGGTACTTAAGGATGATTTAACTCTCCAGAACTCAAAGCTCTGTGAGCTGCCCCCCTTCAAAAGTTGCATATAAAAAGTAACATACTTGAAATTCCTATCTAATTCAAAACTTGCAATGATTAGCGCCATTTAATAACATTTGGTCATTGAAAACCAATCATTCATGGCAACCAAAATGTAAAAGAGGATTAAAATACCTTCTTTTTTGAGAAACTGATCTTGACTTTGACCTGCAGAAGAGAAAGAAAAGAAAAATTGTGACCACTACTTAGCTGGACTTATGCCCAGGGTTACATTCAATTTTAAACTACTTCACCACACAGCAATTTCTTCTTTACAAACCATAGCCGTTTTTGCATTTCAGCTATGCGCCCTTTTATATAAAAGTGTCATAAGTCCTATAGCACTCCTTACTGGATATCCCAAAATAATATCGGGTGCTCGAAACGACAACGCATGGTGCCGCTCACAGTAGAACTTTGAATAAAGATGACATCAGCACACCAATTTCCAAGTCAGTGCAAATCCATTTATTGATAGAAGTCACTCATATCAAGCACTTTCAGGGCCACGCAGGGTCCCCTTCATCAGGCTCAGAAGTCATTGTCATCTTGGAGCCTGATGAAGGGGACCCTGTGTGGGTCGAAATCGATTGATATCCGAGCGACAATCAATAAAAGTGAACTTGCACTGACTTGGAAATTGTTGTGCTGGTGTGCAGATGACATCTTTAATCAAACTTTACCTTAAAAGTGACACTAAACTCGGAGTTAAACCTTAATGAATTAAGTACCTCAAACTTAAAAAAAAAAAGGCTTTTGTGCCTCTGGGCTGTAGATCCTCAAATCATCTCTGAATTCATGCAGACAGTCATTCCTTCTCAAGGGTGGCTACTTTTAGGGTGCGTTTAAAACTAGCCACCACTCCAAGCTCACTCCCATGATAGACTTCAATCTCAACATAAATTAATAAATCAAATGCGACATAATCCATCACAGGAATGAGCTTGGAGTAGCGACTACTTTACAACACACACAGGGACCATGGGGAACAAAGGACACCCATCTGGGAAGAAGAACAGTGTCAGCACAAATTCAGAGATGATTTTGAGGATCTAGAGCTGAGTGATGCAAATTACCTACATTTTTGTAAATAGTTAAGGTACTTTAATGCATTTTTAAGATTTAACTCCTGAGTTTAGCGTCACTTTATTCAGTAACTCCAATGAGGCATGAACAAGACTTCTTCCAACAATTGCTCTGCAACTTTTAAAGGAAATAGAAGTTTCTCAGTTTGACAACTGACAAGCTTACCACTGACACAAAGTGAAGTCTTTCCCTGCAATTTGCCACATTAGGACCATAACATTATGTTCCTGGCACAAAGCTTGGTAAAACTTACAAATGAAAACACATTATCCAAGTAATCAAGTGGCTAAGCAGCACTCAATGTATTGTGATGGATGATCAAGCGCCTAAATTGGTAGTACGGTATGGTATGCATGTAGGCTAAGGGCAGAAAAAAAAAAGTCACACCTGCTTCTGGGGCGGGAGACAGACCTGGATCTGGACCTTGACCTAGATCTAAAAAAAAGGAAAAGGGAAAAAAAAAAACTTAGTTCTGCTTTAAAATATATAATGCAACAGTTATAAGAAAAACACAAGAGTTGTCAGACGTTTAAACCTACCGAGATCTTTTAACAGAAGGAGACCGAGTTCTGCGTGGACTTCCAGACCTGGACCTACGTGGGGAAACAGATCTTGATCTCCGAGGAGAGCCAGACCTGGACCTACAGAAAAAAAATATAGCACATGAAAAAATGTTACAAAATTTAAGTCAGTAAACACACAATTTTCTGCATATTGCTAGATCTGTTTAGATCAGTGGTGTTAAATTATATAAAGGGGCTGGACATCACTACAGGGGCACACATCTGTAAATGTAATGATACTGATGGCTGTCGGCTTGAACATGCTGTAGAAGCGGGGCATGCTTCACAAATCAAAACTGGAGACATTGGGGGTAAAAATTTATAAAAAACTGGCAGACAGAATCTGGAGCAGTTGCTTATAGAAACCAATCAGCTTCTCTCTTCAGTTTAGTTAAGTCTTGAAAATGAGAAGCTGATTGGTTGCCATGGGTAACTGCTCCATATCCCATCTGCTCCAGATTTGATAAAGTCCCCCCAATGTGTCTTCTCATATGTGACTGCTAGATATCACGGCTTTTATAGCTCCATTACAAAGCAATGATTTCACATTAGTGCACCCAACAGCCACACGTTGTTTCTATCTGCAAAATCCATTAAGAAATGGGGAAAAAAAAGGAAGGCTGAAACAGCACAGAAAAAAGTAGACAAGACAGTGCAAAACAAACAAAAAAAGTACTAGAAGGGAGTACTATGTTTTACATCACTGGCAGGCACAAAAGCAGACTACTCTGCTGGGGCTCCTATGGGGCCCGCACAGTAAGAGCCAAAGGACTGAAAATTGGGTACCAGTGGGATTAAAGGATGCCGCAATCATTTGTTACAACCAATATATTAAAATCTAATACAAAGTCTGTTAAAGGGACAATCAACCCAAACGTGATGTCAGTTAATAACTAGACAGTCATACATAGGTTCTCTTGGCTTCTCCACAGGAGATAATATAACAAATGAGAAAATTAGTTTTTGCCCATGGTGACCAGTCATCATACAGATAGGGTTTTATCTATTAACAAGACCCTGTTGGCTATTATAAAAAAGTTATACAGGCACAATACACAAAAAAAAACAAAACCCAAACACCCCACAGTGTACATAATTAACTCTACTGCCACTCGCACTGCTGAATACTGTTTTGTTGTGGGGAATGGACCCCTGAAGCCATCACAGGAATCAGAGGCATGGATGTCAGGAGGAACCGGTGAAAGCAATACAGTGTCTACAATATCTGATTTTATTTTTTCCTGTGCTGTGTACACCATCAATAACAGTGAAAGACAAGGTAACACGAGACACTAAAATGAATTATTTTGGGGGGCCCCAATAGAGTTCCAACACATCCTAAACACACTCTACTGACCCAATTGTAAGCAGAGGTTAGACAAACTTACCTCCTACCACGGCTTCTGCTACGTGAACGGGAATATCTTCTTCCACGAGATCTTGAGTGAGAGCGGGATCTAGACCTGAATATTTCGAAAGAATAAGTTATTTCATGCTTAAAATACAAGGACAATCCAACTTAACGAGACATTACCAATGTCTGAAAACAAAATAGGTAACCTATTTGCCTTGAATAGATCTACCTAGGAGAAATTTGTTAAAAAAGGAATTTCATTTTTACATTAAAAAGTAAATATATTTTAAAATATAAAAGACTAGAAGTGGTAGTTAAAATAAACCTTGCAAGTCTGCATGTCGACCCTCTTTGGCCCAAGGTCTAGAAGATCTATACGGTCTAGAAGGATCTATCAGCCGATCGCTTCATCTACTGTAGGTCTTCCAATCTAACGACGATCAAACTGAGCCATATGAGCCAGGTGAGGCTTGATTGACGCATGAAGGTTTTTCTAGATGGGAATGTGGTCAATCTGCAGTTCTTTTCTAAACCGGAGGGGAGCCCCAAATGTAAGCCAATATTACTTTTGATACGGCGATCGCAGTAGATCTTAGATTTCATGACCTCTACAGAATCATAAGGTGGATCTAGATGTAGATGGCTTGAGGGGATCTGGCCTCTTATGCTGATCACCTCAAGGTCTAGCAGAATCATAATGTCGGATTTGCAAGGCGCCTCAGCATGAAATCATAAGGCTCGTGACATTCTGAATCAAGGCGACTGACTCAAACGAAGAAACCTGTAAGGTTTTGACCAGGTGATTATTAATATATTTGAACAGTTCAAAGTAAAACAAGCCATAAAAACGTACCAGAACAGAAATGCAGCAGTCCACCATTTTTACACTGTTTTCACTAGTGTCACAGGTTATTGCAGTAGATACTAACATTAACTTGATATAACTAACATTTACTAGATTGTTCTGATGGCTACCTCTGAACTTCCTGTATTCTGCAGGAGCATGCAATAAAAGCTTAGTCTGCTTATGAAGCAAAACATGTCAAACAGTTTTAGGGCAAGAGACAGAACTGTGATTGATAAACTAAGCAAAATTACAAAAATCAGGCTGTAGAATCCCCATTATTGAACAGATTTTGCCCACCCATTGTCCACTTCCTTCCCCAAAGCATTTGCACCAAGTAAACTAGATAAAGGGCCAGAACATAGCATAATCCAGAGATCAATGAGAATAAAATAGAATATGCATTGTCTGTCATTTCTGCCCAGTTACACGTTTGACATGTTTACTTTTAAATTACATGTTTACTTTTTTTGTGTGACTAGCTAAAACTTATGCTACACACAAAAGAACTATAAACTATCATAGGCTGCAATATGTAGTCAGGTGTAATGGAAGTCAGAGATATTTGACTAGTTATTCTTCACTTAAGGACTGCTGCTTTAAAACAACAACAACACGGTTTGGCCTCGAGTGTCTCCAGCTAGACAGGAAGACAAACTCGTGTACCTGCTCCTTCTGCGCCTGCTGTACCTTTGACAATCATATGCATAGTGTCCTTTTTCCCCACATTCATAACATCTGTCACTCGGATCAAACGGCCTTCGTGCAGGAGGTCTTTCATAGCGAGAACGACGTGGCATTCCAGTCGACAGTTCTACTCTAACTCTTGAGCCGCAGATGACCCTGTAAATTGGAGAGAAAAAAATAAATAAATGGCATCACACTAGATCATGTCCATCATCAAACATCCTTTTTTTGTTTTGTTACATAACCTACATTTAACATACAAACAAACAGAATAACTGAGTAAAGGAACATTGTTGCTAGATAGCAATAGACATCTGCATCAGTGCCAAGTAAAACTGCCACTGCAATCTTGAGCTTGTTTGCCTTTAAAAGGAGAACTATGAGGTGAGTGCTTTTCACTGACCTCATAGTTCTAGGCGACCTGTGACAATGAGACTGTCACAGGTCGGCTCAGTAGATTGGGAGGTGAGCGAACACATACCGGCGTTCGCTCACCTCTCGATTCTGTCACGGCTCTCTGCCGTGACAGGGGAGGGGCTGGATTTCCCCCTCCCCGCCAGAGCTGACTGGCAGAACGGATGGGGGAGGGGGTGGGTACAGCTGGCTCTGCCTCTAGGTAGGCAGAACCAGCTGTTAGGCACGCAGCTGGGCGGATCCCGGCACAATTGTCGGGATCCGCTTCAGCGTCTCAGTACACCGCGAGCAGCAGCTCACGGTATACTGCGGCGTCTAAGTATACCGCGAGCTACAGCTCGTGGTATACTGAGCCTGGGGTGATGGGAGGACGCTAGTTTGTGTCCTCCTGTTACCCCAAGGAGAACTATGGGGAAAAGCCTTAACCCCATAGTTCTCCTTTAAAGTGTCATCTTATGTGGGGCCCCTTACACCTATTTTAGGTAATCCAGATTTCCAGAGAACTATGGGGTAAAGCCTTAACAACATAGTTCTCCTTTAAGTCAGACTGTGGGTTATACTGTAGAACCTATACAGCTGCCTGATCGTTTTTAACCCCTTCGTGACTGACGACGTACAGTGTAAGTCGCCAGCATCGGGGCTGTTTAAACTTGTAGAGCCGACTGTCGGCTGCACTTCAATAGCTTATTTCCAGTGTAAAGGTGACACTGGGGGTCTTTTGGACTCCCAAGGGGCTTATGATGTGTGCTGGCCAACACCAGAGACCCCCGCCCACACAGGCTCTCAGCACTTCTAGTTTCAGAGCGGTCTGTTCAATGCCGAAAGTCCCATTAAGGAAGAGGTGTGGTTGTTTATATAAAATTTGATTCAATATACAGTTGCATAATAGTGCAAGACAAAAAAAAAAAAATGTTTGCACATGACATGTTTCTATTCTATGGCTCCTCCAGCGCTGACTGGTGGAACAGACGGGGGAGGGTACGTATTAAAGGAGAACCACATAGTTCTTTAATACGTACCGTACTCCTGCTGCCAGATTTAGCCATCTTCCACAGATAAGCTTGCTTAAAATCTCTAACACTTCCAAGAGTGTTGGGTGCCCAGCTTTATCACCCAGTCCCTACAGGACAGTAAAAACTGAGGCCAAAGAAGAACTAAAGTGCAGAAAGGACACAGGTAGGGATGTCCCGATACTTGCATCAGAATCGCGCCCAATACAGGGCATTTTGACAAGTACTTGTCAAAATGCCCCGATGTTTTTTTCTTCTTCTACTTTACCTTCTGTGGTGGGGTCCTCTGGTCAGGCTGAGCGGAGGAGCGTTGGGTCAGTGGTGTGGGTGAAGCTCCAGGTGGGGTCCTAATGTAGGTGACCGGTGACTGCCCAGATCGACTGCACTCGACCTGGAGCTCAGTCTACCGGGGCAGCAGTGACGCCATGCTCCTCTTCGCTGACGATGTCCTTCAGTGCCGGAGATCAGCGCTGGTCCGGTGGGAGGAGCTCCAGGAGGTGCCTGCCAGCTAAATTAGGACCCCACCTGGAACTCCTCCCGCCGGACCAGCGCTGACTCGCCGCTGCTCTCCAGCACTGAAGGACATCGACACTATTAAGCAAGGGCTAATTGCACATCTATTGTCTCCATTGTATTAGCAGTGTGTACCCTATATGTAATGCATATATAGAGTACACACTGCTTATACACTGGAGGCTATAGATTTACAATGATACTCTAACATGAATGGATTAAATGATCCATATGTAGCCATGTACTATGGATCATTTAACCCATTCATGTTAGCAGTGCAGAATTGTATATCTATTGCTGCAGTGCATTCTATCTGTACACGTCCCGTACACTGCAGTAATAGATTTACAATGATCCCCTGCCAACATGAATGGGTTAAAGGATCCGTAGTATAACTACATGTTATGTACTATGGATCATTTAACCTATTCATGTTAGCAGAGGATAATTGTAACTATTACTGCAGTGTACTGGATGCGTGTGCTGTATATGTACTATGGATTATGATTTAACCTATGAGGGTAAATCACCGTGTGAGGCAACAGGGATCGGAGTGAAACAGTGAGGGAACTTAGGACGGGGCTGGCTGTAAATCTATTGCTATAGTGTACTGGACGTGTGTACTGTATATGTAGTACATGTATACAGCACACACCTCCACTATACTCCAGCAATAGATTTACAATTCTCCCCTGCTAACATGAATAGGTTAAATCATGATCCATAGTACATAACATGTAGTTGTACTATGGATCATTTAAAGTCACCTGCCCCTTTAAAAAAAAAAAGTATTGGTAATTGGTATCCGCAAGTACATGAGGGGAAGTACTTGGTCCTGAAAAAGGGGCATTGGGACATCCCTAGACACAGGTATACAGCACTCCTCAGCATGATGGATGCTAGGGGAAAGTCAGAAAGCTTCTCAATCTAGCAGAGCTTAGCACAGATGTGTACAAAAGGAGCCGTATTCAAATTTTTTTTTTTGCATGAAACCCTTATTTCTATTTAAAAATAGTAAGTCATCTTTCAAATTGGTTACCATGGACACCATCTATATTCATTTTCTCTACATTTCTACACTAGCTTTGACATGAAAAGTATTTTCAGAAGAACACAAGAAAAAGCCTTTTTGAAAGTTCGACATACTTTCCATCCAAACCCCGCACTGCATCTTCAGCATCTCGTGTGTCTTCAAATTCAACAAAAGCAAATCCCGGAGGGTTTCTTGCAATCCAAACAGTACGAAGAGGACCGTAGTAACTAAAAGCTCTCTCCAACTCTCCTTTGCCAGCACCAGTACCAAGATTACCAACATAGACTTTTGCCTCTAATAGGAAATAAAAACAGAAAAAGTTAACAAATGGGGGCGTGTTCTTTCAAATCTGATTTTTTTTTTTTAGCATTTTTTCCAACAAAACATGTACAAACATAAAGAAATCACTTTGTGTAGTACACACTTCATACCATAGGCAATATTATTCAACAATGTACCAACTTTCCTGCTACATAAAAACCTAGCCACAACGTTCCCACCAAAGAGACAATTCTTGGTAATGACAGTATATCCCAACCCTGAAGGCCGCTGGATACCACTCAGCCTCATCAAATGCTTTGTCTTGAACATCATTTAAACCTTCACCCCAATTTCTTTTTTTTTTTTACACCTTCCAGCTCTCCACTTTCTCACCCCAGCAAGAATGACTATGCTGGTGCTGCCTGCAGATTTTGAATGTCATATACCAGAAGTCTTCAGGAGCACCAAGTCCCCATTCACACCAAGCGTGTAGCGGGAACATGCACACTGGGTGCACGACACGTTATGCTGCATTAGCCATGTATCCGCACATGGGCAGATGTTCATTTCAATAGGTTGCCCTATCCACAGAACGGAGGAGCAGTTTGTGCTGTGAAATTTACATTCTTCGCTTGTACAGATTTACATTTTAGCACACTGACCCATGTCTTGATTGTAACGTTTGGTGTGCAATTATGGAACTGCAAGCAGGACACACTCTTCCTCATCAGGTAAGGCCCCTATTCATGTTTGTACAGTGTGACCATACATCACGTTTAGCAGTGTTTGCCATGCATCAGCTCATTCATTTCAATAGGCTGCCCTACATGTCACTGCTTATGAAGCAGTCTAAGTTACAAGCTTTACATGCGTTTGTCCATTTGTTGCACATCAACGCCTTGTTTTCCTGTCGCATTTGGGCTGGCATCATTTATTATACGCCAATGCACACATGACAACTTTGCGTGTAGTAACGCACATGACAACTCTTAATGGGAGCTACAGGCGTTCCTGTACCTTTAGACCACGTTCACAAACTGATGCGTAAACGTGCGGGTTTTGGCCGCACATCAGCCCAATCACACGCGACCAACATGGCAAAGTAGCTCATGCAGCATTTTCATGCTGTGTGCACCCTGCAGTTTTACTAGCCACAATTGGAGTGCCATTATCAAGCAATGGCACCACATTGTACTTTTTTTAAAAAAAAAATGTGTTCAAGCAATGCCAAAGTGTATAATGGGCCTTTAATTGGCCAAAACAAAAACACCTGAAGCAATGCAATACAAATGTAAAATGTGTGTTAACTGGCATACAAATACCCCAACTTCACCCGACGTGCACTCTGCTTAGGTCAACATCTAAATCAGGGGTGGCCAAACTCCAACCCTCAAGCTTTGGTGGGACTACACATCCTATGAAGCATTGCAAGATTCTCACAGCAACATGCACGACTTCCAGAAACAGATGCATGATGGGAGTTGCAGTTCCACCATTACTGGAGGACCGGAAACTGGCCACTTCTGAATCTATGTAAACCAGCATAAAGATAGGAGGGAGGCTGGAGCATTCTTTTGCAGGGTGACCCGCGGAAAGCTGCAGTTATCCTCCATGCTATCTCTCCCTGATGAGGGAGGCGGCTCAGCGAACCGAAGCAAATCACAAACAGCATTAACCAGGAAGAGATTCCAGCACACGCTCTCCGCACTATTAAGCTTGTGGCTCCACCATAGAAATGCTCAGGCCAGACGATTCCAGCACACACGATACTAACTTCGTGTCATCTACAAAGCCAGCACAGATAACGCAGTAGATACCGCACAGCTACATAAACCGCCAAACACGTGACTAGAGCGCCCTACAAAATGGCGGCTGCAGGCCAAACATGCCTCCGAAGCGCCTGATAAGGAACACAAATCAATAAACCACCATTTTCCAAAAGACAAAGCGACCTCTCTAAAGCCCGCTTTGCAACATAACGATGAGCCGCTTACCTCCGCTATACCTTCCATACCGCGACATGGCGTCTTCCATAAAAGCGCTTCCAACAACGCCGACTCGAAATGGAATATGGCGGACCACCTGCCCCTATCTTATAACAGCTACAACAGCATGCGGTGACGTAGACGGCGCCCATTGGGCGACGATGTGTTACGTAACTCGTAGGAACGCCCACGTCCAGGAAAAGCGGGGAACGCGGCAGCAACCTAGAGACGCCCCTCCTACATTTGGTGTCCATGGAGCGAGGAGGGCAAACAATGCGGCTCTACAGCTTTCTCGTGCAGTGAATACAATGAGCATGTATAGCAATTCACATATCTTTAAAATAATAAACTTTATTACCGAAATTTGGTGACTAAAACATACACGTCCACTCCCACCTCTATATAATTTTAATTAATTATAATTTTTATATACTTTTAACCACTTGCCGTCCGCCCGTTAAGAAAAAACGGACGGACGGCAGACTCGCATCAGCGAGTTGCTGTCTCCAGACGGCATTTTTTTCCTGCTCGCGCGCGCCCCCTAGCGCACGGGCAGGAAAGACCCGCTCGTT